TCTTATTTTTCTGATCCTGGAACCTAGGAAAATTTTTGTTTTTCTCCTGCCTCTCTTCAAGCTCTATGACAGACAAAATGTTTAGGTTAAATGACAAGTAAAGCATTGAGGTTAAGTAACAAGTAAGGTCTAGGATCTTCGGGGTCAGTACATCAGGTGAGGGTGTGATGGTCTTCTTGTCAGGGAGGCAAAGTTCAGCTCAGCCAGAATTGGGGTGGGACTGGTGAAAGCACTGGTGAAAAGACCCTGCTGGCCGTGTGATTCCGCCTCCTGCAAATGGGGCCGGCTCTCTGCGAATGCAGTCTTGCCCAGGAGTCTGGTTTCTTCTCTCTGAGCTCCTGGCACAGGGGAACCAACGTGAGCAGCCACTTGGCAGAACAGAGAAGAGCAGGTTAGCAGTCCCAAGGCTCGGGTGACAGGGCCAGGCCCAGGAGACAGGGATGTTGACTGGGGCTTTAACAGCACTCCTGATGCCAATCTCAGGCTGAAAACTCGATATTTCCACTTGGAACAAGAAACACAGGCAAGCGGGGTTGTGGCGCGGAGGGCAGCGTACCAGGGGCGCCCCCTGCAGGTCTCATGGGGTGGTGCCAGAACGGGACAGAATGGGGCTTTCCGGAGATCCCTTTCTGGAGTGGTTGTGATGGTAGTGAACATGATGGTGGTGGCGACCAAGATGATGTCCGCCAGTAAAGAAAAGGAGGAGGAGAAAGAGAGCGGAAACTAAGAGCTAACATTTATTGAGTAGTTTGTCAGGTACTATTTCATGACAAACCTTATGAAAAGGATGTTTATTTTCATTTTTAGATGAAAAAAACTGAGGTTTAGAGAGGTGATGATTTACTCAGAGTCACCCAGCACTGACAGAGTTGGGATCTGAACCCAAAATCATTGCCTCCTGAGCTTGTACTCAGCACCTGGCCCACCCTTGGCAGTTCATTCCACGAGTGACCATTTCTACATCTTCCTGATCTTTTAGCTCATATTTTCTTCAAACTTTAAAGGATCTAGGGTTGGGGATTTAGCTCAGCGGCTCGGTGGCCTGCCTTGCAAGCACAAGGACCCGAGTTCAATCCCCGGTACCAAAACACGCACACACACACACACACACACACACACAAACTTTAAAGGATCTGGAGAAGAATAGGTCCATATCTTGTGTATAATAATATTGATAATAACAACATCACCACCTGGCATTTTTATACTGACTCTCTGCTATTAGTTATTTCTTTGTGGGTGGGAACAGAGAGGCAGCTCAGTGGTAGAATGGCTGATTAACATGCAGAAGGCCCTGTGTCCAATTTCCAGCAATAACAAAAAAAAATATTTTCCTGGAGGAAAATGAACATCGAAGTATTTCCATTTCTCTACTCTTTTTTTTTT